AGAGGTACCCTTTAGCGGGACTGCAATGCTGGAAGGGAACACTGGATATTCTGGGGGATTTGGATCATCATGAAGTTTGAGTTTTAATAAGAAAACGTCTTCAGGAATTTATTTTTGGAGCGAGCAAGGTGGCCTGTTAAAATAGCTACTCCAGTCCAGAAAGACCACCTGTGAGCAGAGCCACCTGGGAAGAGCAGGGACCTTGGAGAGAAGGAAACGGGCAAGGGGCCTGCAAAGATGTGTGCCCTTTTTAAGCCCAGATGGGAGATCCTTAGGATAAGGAGGCTTGAGAACCTGGCAAAGCCTCCCTCCACTTCTCCTGTATCAGATCTTAAGATTAGATATTTATATGTCGGAAATCCAATTTCCTTTGTTTATTTTCTTCTCTGCTTGCGAGCTCTTTTAAAAACCTGCTGACTGGTCTCTGGCACGTCAAGAGAAAGCAGGTGCCATGACTGGCTTCACAAACGGGATTTACTTACACAAAGGATTGTCTAAGGGTCAAGCTCCCCTCTCGTGTGCCTCGGACTGGTGGCAGCAGCTCGAATTGAAGTGAGAAAATCCTAAGATCTAGATACTGTTGGTGAGCCCATTATTGCTAGGTATTTCTCATAGAGTTCATTTTTTTTTTGGTTTAAATTTTGAAGCCTGTTTCCATGGTTGGCTGTATTACTCCCAAGTGGCGACAGTCCAGCATCTCATCCCACAAGCTCTTCATGCGATGGGATGGGGAGACCGCTCCTCCCAGGAGGTGGGGATCTACGTTCTCTGCCTTGGAATTGGGGCAGGGCTTTCCCTTTGGCAGAAGTGATGAATTGCCGCTTCCAAGGCTAGGACAGGAAGGAATTCCAGCTCTGGGAACCCAGCCACCATGCTGTGAGGAAGCCCAAGCTGCCTGTGGAGAAGCCCCCATGGAGGAGGACTGCGATTCTTTGCCTCCAGCCCTGGCTGGCAGCCAGCACCACCTTGCTTGCCGTGCGAGTGAGCCATCTTGAAAGTCCGACTTCCACCCTGTCGGTCTGATGTTACATGAAGTGGAAAGGAGCTGACCACACCAAGCTCTGCCCAAATTGCAGATCTGTGAGCAAATGAATGGCTGATGTAGTGTTAAGTCACTACGTTTTGTGATTTTTAAAAAAATATGACAAAATAGCCCTAGCTGGTTTGGCTCAGTGGATAGAGTGTTGGCCTGCAGACTGAAGAGTCCTGGGTTCAGTTCTGGCCAAGGGCACATGCCGGGGGTTGCAGGCTCAAACCCCAATAGAAGGCATGCAGGAGGTAGCTGATCGATGATTCTCTGTCATCATTGATGTTTCTACCTCGCTCTCCCTTTCCCTCCCTCTCTAAAATCAATAAAAATATATTTAAACAATATGGCAAGATAACTGATGTAGTTTCCTAATTATATAAAACCCCAGCATGCTCTTTGGTGTTTATTGTTTTGACTTAGAGCTGCCTCTTTTCCTCACATGCAGCTGTGCCACCAGCTGTCCTAATCTCGCTTCTACAAGGAGGTCTGGAACCGCTGAGGAGGGTAACAGGCAATGCAGGAGAGAACCATTGTTTCTTTTTTCATTTTTTATAAATATATTTTATTGATTTTTTTTACAGAGAGGAAGGGAGAGGGATAGTTAGAAACATCAATCAGCTGTCTCTTGCACACCCCCCACTGGGGATGTGCCCGCAACCAATGTACATGCCCTTGACGGGAATCGAGCCCGGTACCCTTCAGTCCCCAGTTTGACGCTCTATCCACTGAGCCAAACTGGTTTTGGCGAGAACCATTGTTTCTGAGTCCTCTTTGCTCAGTGGAGATGAGGGGGGAGTGAAGACTGTCCTTTTCTCTTGAACTGGAGGCTCTGTCAGCCACCTTTCTCACTTGTTCTCAGAGGGCCTGGGGAGATGTGTGGGTAGGTGGCCAGCTGTGGTTTTTCATGGAGCAACTGGTAAGACTAGCATTTTGAATTTCCAGAAAGGAGAAGAGATGACCTATACTAAACTTGATGTACATCCACCGAGGTTATCAGGGATCTCAATGTCAAATCAGTTCCACCTATGAGCTACTCATGGGCATGGTTCACAGTCTTCCCTCATGTCCCTCTTGGACAGCTGGGATGCATGCGAACTTTCAATCTTCCCATGGATGTATCCATGTCAGGGAGGGACTGCCATCCTTCCTGGGTCCAGATATTAGCTGCATGTCAAGGGAGAAATACTTAATTGGCCCCATTCCTCACTGTGACCTGAGGCGGTGTGTCTCTTTTGAGCTGATACGAAACCAAACTGAGACATATCTGGTGATGATGCTTACTTTTCCCTTTGTATCTTAATTTTCCTCACCACCTTTACTCCTTCGTACCACTCCATTTTCAATAGATTTATCTAGAAGAAATTCTAGAAGGAAAATTTAAAAATATTTTTATTGATTTCAGAGAAGGAGTGAGAGATAGAAACATCAATGATGAGAGAGCTGCCTCCTGCAACCCCCCTCCCCCAGGATCGAGCATTTGCTTTGACCAGGAATTGAACCATGACCTCCTGGTTCATAGGTTGACGCTCAACCATTGAGCCATGCCAGCCAGGCTAGTCTTCTTTTTAGATAGTTCCTTTGAACCCTTTCCCAATCCAACTCATGCTCTTAAACTCTTTATGTGGTTTTTCTCCCTCCAATTGGACAGTCTTAATTCCCTAGCAGAAACCAACACACTGAGTAGGGCAAGATGACCAGCAAATACAATCAAGATGATGGTGAGATTGGTTCTCTTCTTTTCCTTATTCTGTGGGTTCCTAGGGGAACGTTTCTCTGAGCATAGGTGCTTCTCTCTCCTCTGCTTTGTCTGTATCTGAAAGGGGCCAGGGACAGGGGTAGCCCTTAAGAATCCAGCATTTCTCTCTAGGCCGGTCAGCTGCTTAGAGGTTTTGCAAGGGGAAGAATCCTGCCATCACCAGCCAGTAGGCTTTATAATGCTAGGTATATGTTGAGGATGGATTTGTTCTTGGGCATGCTAGCTGGTGATTAGCCAATCAGAGGGGAACCAGAGTTTCCAACTCACTTTATATCCCCAAAGAGAGGCATCTTTGTGGAGAAAGAGAACCTAAGTAATTGCTCAGTGAGAGATGTCCTCAAAGTTATGCATCTTGAGTGTGTTTGCATGACCAGAGGGGGTGGGTAAAGTAGCAGGTTATTCAAGGGTTTTGGTTCTTTAGACAGATGCTAAAACTCAACCAATGTATTTGCTGCTCTGCTGGGGACCCCAGCTTTCCATCTCCTGGCTGGCGGTGAGCTCAGAAGCTTCAGGTTTAGGAAAGGTTGTTTGAGGCCATTTTTGATGTGTAGTGTGTGCGTGTGCATGTGCGTATGCGTGTGCGTGTGCATGTGTGTGCGCGCGCGCGTGTGTGTGTGTGTGTGTGTTCACAGAAGCAAATCTCCTTGTTCTATTGGGAGCTTCATATCCTAGAGCCAGTGCTTTGTGACCAAGAAGTATTTTGAGAAGGTGAAATTCCTAAGGTTTCCTTCACTGCTCCCCCCCTCTCCGCCCCCCACCTCTTCCTTCTGTGGCCAACAACCCCTCTCTGGGAGCTCTGCCACTCTCAGCACTGCTTTCAGTCCAGAAAGAACAGACATCTTCACTGCAGTCTCAGAATGCTGCTGATTGTTTGTAGTAGATGTTTCCATGACACTCATTTATGTCTTCTGCAAATGCAACTGTATTGGGGGAGGGGACAAGGCGCGGTTATAGTAGTGAGACTGGGAAGTATGAAGACCTTCCCTGTTCATCTGTCTTCTGTGGGAATAAGAAGCCCCCCTCCTCCCCTTTTTTTTTTCTGTATCTCTCTGTTCCAGACCCCGACACCGCTCCCCAGATCCATCTTGGCTGCAAGCTGCTCACATGGGCTAGGCCCTAGCTAGGTAGGGACGGGAGGAAACTTGTGCATGAGGAAGCAGCCTTTTACAGAAGAAAGAAAGAAAAAAAAACTTTTGATTGTTCAAAGTTGGGATTTAGCAATGATGAGCAACGCTGACCCCCACTGGGGGTGGCAGGGTGTGTGTACAGTGTGTTCCAGAGGCTGTTCTATGACACTCCTCCTGCAGCTGAACCAGTGACTCATTTGAAATCTTAGCGACTTGCAGAGGTCATTTTAGTCATTCCCCTGCCTTCAGACTGGGTGGGTTAACTTAACATCACGTTTGGGTGGGAGGGGTGCGTGGCCGAGGAAGCGTGTCCATGTGTGGAAGGGAGTGGGGGTGGGGGAGGGGGAGGTTGCGCGTGACCTCTTCGAAAAGAGCTTCAGCGAAGGACGTTCCCGAGCTTCCCCAGGCTCCCCGCTCCCGGGTTTCCCCATCCCTGAATCAGCATCATCCTCCCGGGAATTGCTTTTGAGCCGGATGGAAACCGGATGTTGGGTTCCCTGGGTGGGCGGGGACGACGTCCCCTCAGAGCTGTCACGGGTAATTCGAGACTCACAGGGTCCTCTTATCAAACCAGAAACGCTACCATTTCCTTTAGCAGAAACTTGCCTTGCAGTGGTGAGCCGAGAGAACAGAGCAGAGTCGCTACAACGCCTTCTCTCGGGCAATGCGCATGATTCTGCGGCTCTGTGCTGGCTACGCTTCAACGCACCTTGAAATGGGCTCGCCTCCCCAGCCGTGACGGGCAGGCCTCGGAGCCAATCTGCCTCGAGGCTTGTGGGCGGTGGCCAATAGGCGGGAGGCGGGGGGCGGTGCCGGAGGCCCGGCCAGTTAGGCTTCACCGTGGCGCTGGCAGCGCTCCGCCCGGGCTGGTAGTGCAGGTGCCGCTGCGCGGGGCTTGGGGAGCCTGCGCGCCGAGCCGAGCGGAGCCGCGGAGGGAGGGATGGGGAGCGGGCCGCCCGGGCTGCAGCTGCACCGGCGAGGGGCGTAGGCGGGTCGAGCCGGCGGGAGCAGGCGCTCGGGCGAGAAGTGAGCGGCGCAGGAGTACTTTGCGATAGGATGAGGCTCCTGGCTGGCGCGCGATAGTACTATGATTTGGTATGTGGCCACTTTGATAGCAAGTGTGATCAGCACCCGAGGTCTGGCAGCTCAAGGTGAGTTGAAGTGCAGCGCCCCTGCTCTGCCCCCCGTTGTCCTCAGCCCCTTCTTCCTCCCCATCTCCCGCTCCCCGGTCCCTCCGAGCGCCGCGCCTGTCCGCGGGCGAGGCTCCAGCTCCGGCCAGGCGGGCTCCGGCCGGGCACTGCGGGGAGGGCGGGGGCCGCCGCGGGCCGGAGGTCCAGGCGGCAAGGGGGTCCCAGTCCCCTCGGGCTGCCGGGCGCTCGGGAGAAGACACCTTGGGATTGGGGGGTCGACTTCGCCCACCTTCGGCCCCGCACCTGCACACCGGCGTGCCGTGCCGGGCGCCCTGAGCCGGAGCGGCGGTCTCCCGGAGCGCCGGGGAGTCGGCGGCTCCCCTAACTCTGGGTGCCGGGAGTTTGCGGGTGTTCCGGAGGCTGCTGCACTCGCGCCACCGCTCCCAGGCGAGCCTTCGCAGGGAGGTGCGACCCAGAGCCTTGGGACTCCTGGCACTCTCGGCTAAGGGGACTCTGGGTTACTGGCCCCGCAGGCGCCCACCGCTCCAGCTCACGCCCCTCCTGACCCCAAATCTTGGCAGCCAGAGGTCGGGTACTTCTCCGAGCGCGGGGGGCGCATGGAGAACCCAGAGCGGGGAAGAGGGGTGGAGGTGGGGGTGGGGGCGGGGTGGGGGTCCCTCGGCGGGCTCCAAGGAGCGTCGGCTTTGGCCAGCCCTGTCCGACTGGCATCTGTGTTGGCTGAGCCGCACCTGGGCCCGGCCAGGTAAAAGTTCCCGGGGAGCGCGTAGCAGCCGGGCCGCCCCGGCCGCCCTCCGGGCTGCGAGGCAGAGCTGGCGGGGGACACGGGCAGCGGGGAAAGGGTCTCCCGTGGCTGCGTCTCGGAGCACAGAGAGGTTTCCTCTTTCCTTTCCGTCCCCTTGTCTGAGCTGGGAAGGGACCAGAGGGAAGCCAGCGAGTTGGGCGATGCGCGCGTGAACGCGCGGGCTTTTGCTCCGGAGACAGGCAAGGCGACCTGCAAGCCGCTGGGTGGCACCCCCAGCTCTCGGCCCTTGTATGGAAGTGGGAGCGCAGCCCGGAGGGTGCCAGGACTCTGAGCTCACGGCTCTCAGCCGCTGACACAACCGGCGGGCGGCGGGCAAGTTCGCCTGGAGGAGGTGGCTGCGCGGAACCGGCCTTGGCACAGAAGTCGGCAGGGGGACCCGCCAAGGAGAGAGCCGGCGCCCAGCGGCGGGAGGGCAGAAGGGGTGGCAGGAGGCACCTTTTACAGGGTCCTCTCCTCACCTTGTCTGGGCAGTGTAGGGGAAAGGGGAAGTGATTTGAGAAAGTTTCTAGAAGGAATGACTCCCGTGCGTTTTGAGGGGGAGGAGGGAGCTGAAAACAGAACCAGAGGAGGGCTCAGGGAAGGGCGATTTTGTTAAAAAGGCATAGTGACCTGGCTGGTTTTGAGACTCTCCGTTTGCCAGGTGGGAAAACTGAGCCAGGGGGACTGCAGGAGCCTATAGAACGGGGGTGGGTGCGAGGTGGGTCAAGTTGTGCTTGGGAATCTCCATCCTCAGCCTCCTCTCCCCCCCCGCTGCCTTGTAGTCTTCCAATGCCCTCATCCTCCCCTCCCGTTTTTGGTACGTTCCTGCTATGGGACTGTCACTGAAAGCACAAAAGGATATGCTGGGATCTTTGAATAAAAAGGAGACAGTGAAGGGAAGCTCTGAAATAGCCTCTGACGCGGAGAAGCCAGGGTGAGGGGATGGACTGTCTGCAAGTTTAAGCCCAGAATAAAGGAAGAGGCGTGTATGTAGCGCAGCAACACACAACATGGCCAGACAGAAAGGAGGACTTCCTAGGATTGCCTGTTGGTGGGTGTGAAGGTCCTGCCTTCTTTCTGGGTGTGGAGAGGGCCTTCTGCTTGGGATGGCTTGCCCTGTACTCCTGCCTGCCACCCCTCATTGGTCTTGGGTTTTTTTGTTTGTTTGTTTGTTTGTTTGTTTGTTTTTTTAGCTCAAAGAGGCTCTGAAGGTAGTGGTTAAGGACATAGGCCTAGAGTCAACGGACCTGGGTTCGAATCCTGGGCTCTGCCACTTGCTGGCCTAGTGACCTTGGAGAAGTTGTCTAAGCTCTCTCAATGTCACTTGCCTCAGTGGAAAATGGGGTTCCCAGGATGAGCTAGTGGGGTTTCTTGTGAACCTTCATGCTATAAAGAAATGAGTGACTACCTGTTATATAGTAAGTGCTCAATAAATATCATCATCATCATCATCATTTCATTATCTCTGGGGTTCCAGTCTTCTCCTTGGTTTCTTTCCCTGGGGGCATTCAGGGCATCGGGCACCAGGAGGGCCTAGGGGAGGAGTTGAGAAGGCTGCCTCTTTCAGAAACCACGTTCCCTTTCATGGGCTGACCTTGTCCAGGGAGAACCTGTCACCCCTCTGCAGCCCAGGGAGCTGTGTGGGGGGCATGCAGGCCACGGGGCTTTACGTGGAAAGCCTCTGAAAGGTCTGCAAAACTGGGATTCTGTCCATGGCCAGAGGTCTGTGGGAAGGATGCAGGAGGTCACAGCCTCTCCTCCTCTGCAGAGAGGGAGAAGGGGGGCCTGCCTGGCAGGCGCCTGCTCACGGGAGAAACAGCCAGCGGTGTTCAAATGCTGGCTCTGTCTGTGTGACAGCTCAGCTGCTCTCTGACTGGCAGAGTTGACTTCCAGGGATGGAGGAGGGGAGGAATTCCTGAAGGGGAGGGGCTTTGCAGTGCCATGCTTGGGTTTAGGTTTGCTGGAAGCAGGGCTGCTCTAGCCCAGGGGTAGAAGGGGGCAACCCCTTGGGCATTGTTGGGTTGGGACACAGGTAGGGATGAGCTCCCCATTTGACCTGAGTTGCGCATCTGGAGGGGATGGAGGTGGGTGGAGAGGCTGGGGAGGGAATGGGGAAGAGAGAGTTGAGATGTATCTGGAGTCTGGCAGGTGGCGATTGGAGTCTCAGCATCCCAGACATTTGCTGAGCAAGCCTGGGGAGCACCCTGGACCACGCTTAGCTAACTGACTCTGGGCCTTGATGCCCAGGGCTCCCTCCTCCTCTCTCTCACAGATTCTGTGGCTGGATTATCCCTGATTCCAGTGTCCCCAGATAAAGTGGAGTTCTGATTCAGGTCCTACGGGTAGCTGGACCAGTGCCCTCTCTGTCCTCCCTTTGGTAATGAAGACAAGAGGGAGGAGGTTCAGGCCCAGGGCTGCTGGGAAGACCTCCTGGGCAGTCCATCCGCTAGGGAGGACTGGCTCAGCAAGTGGCAGGTGGCGTGCACAGGGCCCCAGCACAGCGCTGTGCCGGGCAGCATGCGCCCCGGGAGAAGCTGAGGAGAAACTGGGAAGAATCAGCTTTCAGCTGCTGGCCTGAGGCCCAGCACTTGCTAGACTTGGAGTTGTCAGGTCCCGGAGCTGGATGGTTTCATGTTTATGGCTCTGATAGAAAGTGGGATCCGGTTACCCAAGAAGCAGAGGCTGCCCAGCCAGGGAGATGCTAAAGCCCAGCATCTCCTCCCTCCCTCTCTCCTGGCTCTGCCTTCTCCAGTGCCTGCGTCTTCTTTCTCCCCTCTGCCTGCCCGGCCAGGGAGCCTGGGTGCGACTCTCAGAGCCTAGCCTGTGCTTTCTCTTCTTGCTGGCCCTTTTTTCCTCTGGTGTGCTGGGCACCTTCCTGTGTGCTTTGCCCAGGGATTGAGGGTGGGAGATGAACCCCAAAGGGGGCCGGGCCTGGGATTTACCACACTTCTCCACTAACTCCTGCCCCATCCTGTGGCCTCTTCAGGCTGGGGCTTGGGGCTCAGGGGAGCGAGTTTGTTCGGCCTGCTTCCCTCGGATGGGTGAGCAGCTTGTGTAGAGTGGCTCTGAGCTATGAAGAGCTGTGATTGGTGCAAGTTGTCCGGAGGTGTGTGCACGTCTGTGTACATGTGTGCATGTGCATGTGTCTGTATGTGTGTGAGCATGTGTGTTTGCACCTGTGTGTGTTTGTGTGCACGCACACGTGTGGAACGCAGCAGGACAGGGGCAGTCAGTCTGCAGGCACGAGGTAGGGAGTCACTCCTCTCCAAGAGCCGTGGGTGGCGGAGACTAGACTCAGAACAGATGCCTCGCTTTCCTGTCCCCGGCTCTGCACCTGAGTGTAGGCAGCCCAGAAGTTTCTAAAGTTAAGGCCCAGCCCAAGCTCTAGATTTAAGGATGCCAGAGGTTCCAGAGAGAAAGCCTATGTGGGGGGACAAACCCAGGTTGAGCCCCGGGAATGCCAATAACAGGTATGTCCTGCCTCAGTGCTCTGACACCTGGTTATTCAGCACAGTGAGTCCAGCAGGGCTGGGTCGCAGGAAAGATGGGTGAGGGTGCTGGGTTGCAGAGCAGCTCGTAGCCTGGCCCCTCGGGGGCACTGCCCACGGGTGCCAGTTCAGCCTGCTCCAGGCAACTGACCTATTTTTTTTGCGGAATCTCCTGCTTCTGTGTTTTCTCTTGCGTGAATGAGCAACAGACTGGTGAGCAGAGGCAGGGCCTCCATGAGGGTGTGGGGGAGAAGTCCACGTGGCCAGGGCTTCGAGGGAGGGCCCAGCCAGCCCCACTGTCCTTCTGAGAAGAGGGACTGGAGCTGCTCCCTCTTGGCCTGTCCCTCTGTCCCCTGCCCCATCCCCTGTACCTCCCTCCTGGTCACAGGCACCCATCAAGACAGTCTGTGGCAGACAGCCTGCACAGAGGGTCATCTTCACAATTGTGTGAGCCAAGCCAGTCCTCATTCCTTCCCAGCGTCAGAGCAGGGAGTGCTGACACTCCGTTGTGAGTCTGATAGAGCTTTGATTGCCCTCTTACTTATCCTGTCCACCTGGCTCCTCACCTGAGGCTTGTGGCCCTGTGGCAGGCAGAGCCCACCGTGTGCTCCCCTGGCCGGGCCTGCCTGGCGGTTTCGGAGCACATGCGTGTATTTGGCCATGTGTGAGTGTGCAGGTGCAGGCCTCCGCCCCGGTGGTGGGGAGGGCTCGCGTGGGGTGTGGCCGTGCCT